CAATAGGATTATAAAAAATATGTGCTAATATAAATTTAAATTAAGTAGCCTATGTAAAATTGCAAAATAAATCTATCTATCAGTACTTTTTTACTTAAGTACATAAAAAATCGAGTACTTCTGTACTTTCACTCGAGTAAAATTGAAAAAGGAGTACTTTTACTGGAGTAATATTTTATTATAAGTATCTGTACTTTTACTCAAGTACTTAATTTGTGTACTTCGTCCACCACTGCGTTGGGACAATCGTAATTTGAGCAATTTACACAATAAGCATTTTTAAACAAACAACAACAACAAAAAAAGATTATGTTTTTATTTATTCATGTCACTCGTTGTGGTCACACCATGGTCATCTAATAGTTAGATGGAGACCTGGAGATTGAGGCCTACAAGCCACAGTGTCTCGCACCCACTGTGAGATTTGGTGGAGGATCTGTGATGATCTGGGGGTGTTTCTGCAAGGCTGGAATTGGGCACATTTGTCTGTGAATAGTGCATGAATTAAGCCACGTACAAGGTTGTCCTGGAAGAAAACTTGCTTTCTTTTTGCTCTGACAATGTTCCCCAACTCTGAGGATTGATTTTCCCAGCAGGACAATGCTCCATGCCACACATTCAGATCAATCAAAGTATGGATGGAGGGCAACCAGATCAAGACCCTGTCATGGCCAACCTAATCTCCAGAACTGAACCCCATTGAAAACCTCCAGAATGTAATCAAGAGGAAGATGGATGGTCACACGCAATCAAATAAAGCCAAGATGCTTGATTTTTTTTTGCACCAAGACTGGTGGAGAACATGCCAAGAAGCATGAAAGCTGTGATTGAAAATCAGGGTTATTCCACCAAATATTGATTTCTGAACCCTTCATACGTTAAAACTTTGTGTTTCTCAAATATTGATTTCTGAACTCTTCTTAAGTTAAAACCTTAGTATTGTCTTGTTTAAAATGTTTTCTGTGCATTATTTGAGGTCTAAAAACACTGCATCTTTTTTGTTATTTTGACCAGTTGTCAACAGTTGTCACCATCAAATAAATGGTCTAAATGACATTTGGAATTTGGGAGAAGTGTTGTCAGTTGTTATAATGTTCAATTTACTTAAACACATACCTATAAATAGTAAAACCAGAGAAACTGATAATTTTGCATTGGTATTTCAATTTTTCCAGAGCTGTATATTGGATTTCCATAATGTGTCATTTTAGGTGTTCACAAAGGCTGGAGAATAGTCGACACGACTGTAACTTACAGCCGTCTATGGTGCATCTAGAATTCAGATTGTGTTGTTCACTATTTTTGTGGCGTTTCTGTGTTTGCAGTTATGAGGCGCCGATAAGATTGAAAGTCTGAAAAAGATAGAATAAAATCTATACTGGGAAGATTCCCATTTATATCGCGATGCATCGTATCTAACATATTTGCATTGGTAAAAACCGAGTTATTTATATAGAATTACTAGTGGGTGCGCTATACTTTTATTATTTAGAAAGTGACCAATATTTTATATGTAGATTGATTGTTCCTCTCTAAACTGTCTCTCATCACCCTGCTGCTGTGTGAATATGACGCATCACAACACCACGGAGACCTGAGGAAAAACTGGGATTAAAGTCCAAAACCTGATTTGAAATAACTTAACAAATCAATCGGGGCTAAAGCGGTTCCATAAATTACAAATTAAATTCACACAATCGCACTAATTTGTGCACGCTTCTTCTTAAACAGACCTTATGTCGATCATGGATCAAATCGAACAGAGAATATATCTGTGCTGTTTAATGCATTTGAGACGCTGTGTTTTCCTCAGTGCATAACTGACATGTCACATGTATATTTTTTTTATCTGTAAATGTTAGAAAGGCATGCAAAACATATCCATTTTGCTGTCAGGCTTGGGCGAGGAACGCGAGAGCAACGAGCGCAGCTGCGCGCATGCGCACTAAACGGACAGAGCGCTACAAATAGGAGCGCAGTAATTCTGAGGAAAATAAACATTTTGCTTAAAAAAAATTGTTTTTGGACATTAAATGTGTCTTTTGTAGAATTTTAAACCTACAAAAATTGTATTTTTATGATAGCAGTAACTGTAAGTGGACTATTGTAATAGGTAAATCAAATGTAAGCTAGTAGGCTAGTAATTACTAAGCTCAAGTGTTTCCTACAGCAGTTAAAATGTAGTCATTTTCTTTATTATTTATTTTCATTTTTAATTCAGTGATTTTAACTTTAATTTAGTTATTTTAATGCTTTAAAGAACAAATTTAGATTATGATCAAATAAAGCCAAGATGCTTGATTTTTTTTTGCACCAAGACTGGTGGAGAACATGCCAAGAAGCATGAAAGCTGTGATTGAAAATCAGGGTTATTCCACCAAATATTGATTTCTGAACCCTTCATACGTTAAAACTTTGTGTTTCTCAAATATTGATTTCTGAACTCTTCTTAAGTTAAAACCTTAGTATTGTCTTGTTTAAAATGTTTTCTGTGCATTATTTGAGGTCTAAAAACACTGCATCTTTTTTGTTATTTTGACCAGTTGTCAACAGTTGTCACCATCAAATAAATGGTCTAAATGACATTTGGAATTTGGGAGAAGTGTTGTCAGTTGTTATAATGTTCAATTTACTTAAACACATACCTATAAATAGTAAAACCAGAGAAACTGATAATTTTGCATTGGTATTTCAATTTTTCCAGAGCTGTATATTGGATTTCCATAATGTGTCATTTTAGGTGTTCACAAAGGCTGGAGAATAGTCGACACGACTGTAACTTACAGCCGTCTATGGTGCATCTAGAATTCAGATTGTGTTGTTCACTATTTTTGTGGCGTTTCTGTGTTTGCAGTTATGAGGCGCCGATAAGATTGAAAGTCTGAAAAAGATAGAATAAAATCTATACTGGGAAGATTCCCATTTATATCGCGATGCATCGTATCTAACATATTTGCATTGGTAAAAACCGAGTTATTTATATAGAATTACTAGTGGGTGCGCTATACTTTTATTATTTAGAAAGTGACCAATATTTTATATGTAGATTGATTGTTCCTCTCTAAACTGTCTCTCATCACCCTGCTGCTGTGTGAATATGACGCATCACAACACCACGGAGACCTGAGGAAAAACTGGGATTAAAGTCCAAAACCTGATTTGAAATAACTTAACAAATCAATCGGGGCTAAAGCGGTTCCATAAATTACAAATTAAATTCACACAATCGCACTAATTTGTGCACGCTTCTTCTTAAACAGACCTTATGTCGATCATGGATCAAATCGAACAGAGAATATATCTGTGCTGTTTAATGCATTTGAGACGCTGTGTTTTCCTCAGTGCATAACTGACATGTCACATGTATATTTTTTTATCTGTAAATGTTAGAAAGGCATGCAAAACATATCCATTTTGCTGTCAGGCTTGGGCGAGGAACGCGAGAGCAACGAGCGCAGCTGCGCGCATGCGCACTAAACGATGGATCAAATCGAACAGAGAATATATCTGTGCTGTTTAATGCATTTGAGACGCTGTGTTTTCCTCAGTGCATAACTGACATGTCACATGTATATTTTTTTTATCTGTAAATGTTAGAAAGGCATGCAAAACATATCCATTTTGCTGTCAGGCTTGGGCGAGGAACGCGAGAGCAACGAGCGCAGCTGCGCGCATGCGCACTAAACAGACAGAGCGCTACAAATAGGAGCGCAGTAATTCTGAGGAAAATAAACATTTTGCTTAAAAAAAATTGTTTTTGGACATTAAATGTGTCTTTTGTAGAATTTTAAACCTACAAAAATTGTATTTTTATGATAGCAGTAACTGTAAGTGGACTATTGTAATAGGTAAATCAAATGTAAGCTAGTAGGCTAGTAATTACTAAGCTCAAGTGTTTCCTACAGCAGTTAAAATGTAGTCATTTTCTTTATTATTTATTTTCATTTTTAATTCAGTGATTTTAACTTTAATTTAGTTATTTTAATGCTTTAAAGAACAAATTTAGATTATGTTCTGATGTTCTGCAAACTATAAAAGGTACAGCTAATAAAACCAGAGAGAAAGGCTGCATGGCTAGAAACTGTAAGAAAAAAAAATCAAATAATAGTATGTGAGACAGTGGTAATATCATTATGTTCCTATTGGTCAGTAGAGGAGCTTAGCCTGACAGTCAGCCTGCTTTAGTTAGACCAGGTTAGTTTCCCAGCATAAGTTGCCACAGTGACTAAGCTTGATCTAGGCCTATGTTAAATTTGCTTTATGGAACCAAATCATTTGACAATGAGTCAGACTAACTGAAATAAGCCTGGTCTATTTGTTTTATGAAACAGGCCTCGAGGCATTAAAAGAGACCATATTTTCTCCATTGCGTCATATTGCATCGAATCGCATTGTGTTGAATCAGACTGAATCGAAATAGGATCGCACTGCATAGTAACAGGGGTGATTCATAACGCATCGCAACGGTAGCTGCTTCATATGTATCTTTTAATGTATCGTATCATTGGCTATGCATCGAGATGCGTATCGTATCGGCTTGAGTCATGAGATGCACATCCCTAATGCATATAAGGCATTTGAAGAAATATGTAGGAGAAGTAGGAGAAATAAACAATAAATGCAAGGTAAAATGTTTCCATGTTTTTAATGTGATCTTCATATAACAAAAAGAAAAGATAATATATGTGAATGTCAGTTGTTGAAGAAATATAAAAAAGACAAAGCAATTCATATAATAAAGAAAATGCTAAAAAAAGACAAAACGGTTATGCAGCTGAAACTGTTGTAAATCCAGCTGCAGCTGAAAATGAGTGTATTTCAGAAGACCCACTAAACACAGGCTAAGATTAACAAAACAACATAGACTTTATTCAAGTAACAATCATGAGAATCATGTCTATAAAAATGAGAAAGGATAAAACTCAGATAAACACAGATAAAAATAAAAAGTTTCTGTAGATGTTTATTTAATGCTGGCAGGAAGAAGTTAACTATGAACTAATTACGATCTTAAGGTGTTACACTGTTGTCACTGGTGTGGTAGACTGCCCAGTGAGCCCCAATGGAGGTGATTCCATATCCATTGTGTCGACCACTGAGAAAGCGTAGCTCACTTCCATCATGGGTCGGGTAGAAGTTAAATGAGATTCCAGAAGGTTGTCCCACTTTAAAAGATCGGCCTTGACTAGTGACAAACATAAGCTCATAGATGTAGCCATAGTCGTACTTTCCAGACACCTGAACGATGGATTCATTGTCAAGAAGTGTCATCTCCATCTGAGTGCCATAGTTTGCACAAACAAGTGTTGTCCAGTTACCATCATAACTCAGCTGGATTCTAAACAGATATGTGTCGTCAGTGTTCAAATAGATACACACAATGCAAATGACTTAATTAATTTTACATTAAGTCACAATAAAACACATCTTAATTACTTTGGCACTCTTTTCATCTGGATAGGTGATCAGTGCTGCATTGCTTTACTTACCCACCAATGTATGCGCTACTGTATTCCCAGATTCTGATACCAGTGATGCGACCCACATGTGCAGTAGAATATTCAGTCCCACTGCCTTCCCCAGCAGCCAGGGAGTAAGAGTAGAAATCAGGTAAAGCTGAAAGAGGGAATAACAACTAAAAGTCTGGCTGTAATATTATTATTATAAAATTGTTATTAATATAAATTATTACTATTATTATAATTACTGTTTTAATTCTCTTATTTAAACATTCAGAATCATGCTGCAAAAAAGTATATAGTATATAATTTTCTAAAGGCCATTATTTTCTTACAGTGTGATTTTGCATGTTTGCAAAAAAATGTAAATAAAATACAATGGTAAAAATAAAAAACACTAAAGTGGTGTCTGATACTCACGCATGGCCATGCCCACTGTACAAACTCCAGAGAGAACCAGAATAAGATTCAACATTTTGGAAAAAAGCTGCTGTCCAGTACACAACAATAATCTATTTGAAACAAAACAGATCATGCTTATGAAACAGTAAAAACATTATTAAAAATAAAGGTGCTTAAAAGGTTCTTCACAGCAATGCCATAGAAGAACCATTTTTGGTTCCACAAAGAACCATTCAGTTAAAGGTTATTTAAAGAACCATCACTTTCTTACCTTTTTATAATCTGAAGAACCTTCTTTTGCCACAAAGAACCTTCTGTGAAACAGAAAAGTTCTTCAGATGTTAAAGGTTCTTCTTGGAACATTTAGAAAAAAGGTTCTTCTATGGCATCGTGAAGCACCTTTATTTTTAAGAGTGTACTGCAAGAGCTATCTCCCAACTGTATGCCATTGAAAGTTGAACCTGCATCTTGTTATCACTGTGCAATTTGCTTTACATCACTTTATATCACTAGGTAGCAGTTTCCAACATCTAACTACATTACATATTGACAGAATGGTGATTAGTGTTTTCGTATGTACCTAAGAACATTTCGATGATAAAAGATAATCACTGGAATTTTAGAAATATAAAGTTATTACCTGCAGTTATACTTGATGTGGTTGATATTTGAGCAGTCTGGTTTGCTTACTAAACCTTCCTGCATTTATATTCTCCTCCTAGTCAAACCTCTTCTATTGGACAAGGTATGATTGTCTTTCTGTCTCAATTATGACACACCTCAAATATAATGTTTTGCAATACAAAACAAGTTTTGGTCCAAATGCAAAGAATGATTAGAATGCTATATATAACTTTGCTTATTTTGCCAAAGGGTGTGAACTTTTTTTTTAACAAATAAAAAATATACAAAACAACAAGGATAGGAAAAAGGGTTATACATGAAAATCTAAGAAAATCCAGGATAACACATCACTAGTTTTTATATTAGAACACTATGTTTATTTAGAACAATGTAAGCAACTTTCGCATCTCTTGTAAATTACACTATTACTGAATTTGTAGTAAGTTGATCAGGCCCTCTATGTACAGAGCTCCATTAAAAATTAACTGTTCATAAAAAGAAAGGGTTATGTCGGTCTGCTTAATATTAGCTATATTATTTATTTTAAATACATTTCACTAGACTTTACTAAGTACAGATAAGGATGATTTGTCCAGTAATGTATGCATAATCTAGCATCGATGGATATCTTTTGGGTTTTTTTTTAATGAAGGACAAATGTTTTAGATTAGATGTCTCTTTTCTTAAGTATACAGTTATTTATTTGTATCTGACAAATCACATGATATTGATCATAAGACATGAAATGCCTCACCTAGCTTGATGGTTTGCTTTTGTAAAAACAAAAGTAGCAGTACCATTAAAAATAAAGCTAAAAAAAAAAACCTAAGCATTTACCACTATGTTTGTATATATTGTATGACAAGCTAGACACAAAATATTTTCAGGAGATAAAAAGAGATTTCAACATAAAAATAGAGCTAATACATAAGTATAAACAGTGATCATCCTCATCATGTACTTCAAGGATGAATTTTTATCTATGCTAACAAATAAATGGCCCTTTAAATTGTGAAATATCAAGGGATGACAGGTACCCTGGTGTATTTCCTCATAGTCAACATTCCAACTTAATAACATGCTAAAGTATGTTTTGTTCTATTATGTATAACTTGGGCGTCTGGATTTTTCATGTCTCAAGTGATGTTTAAAAATCTCTCACACAGGCCTGTATCACATCTTGAGAATATGTACATTTTCAGTTTTATTTAATTATTGGTAATGCTTTACAATAAGGTACATTAGTTATCAATAGTTAATAAACATACAGCTGCTCATTGGTAGTTCATGTTAGCTCAGGTCCATTAAATAATATTTACAACAATTTTTTTAAACTCTTTATATATGTATATATATATATATATATATATATATATATAATGTACTTTATTATATACTGATCAGTCACAACAATTAAACCATTGACAGCCCAGGTAAAAAATAAGTACAATTTAGATGTACTAATATCGATGCACTTATTATATTTTTATTATACTATACTAAGTGCATAATAAATGTGTTATTGTGGAACAACTTTAAGTATGTTAAAAGTGCTCTTTAAGAAATGCTAAGATCAACTTTAAGCTAATTGCAATATATTTTAACATATTTAGTTGTGTTAAAATGGAACAACTTCAAGCATCTTTAGTGTAATTTAAATGTACTTCTTTACATTATTTAAAATATAATTTTATACTTCTTGAAGTAAAGTTAGATTATATTTTAAGCTTCACTTTAATGTGCTTCAAAAACATTTTCAATAGCATTTCAGCTCATTAGAAATGCATTACCAGTACACTATTTGTTCGTTCTATTAGTTTGCTATGAAGCTATTTTCAGCACTCAAATATGGTTTATTAAAATGCACAAAAATCATTAAATCAACATGACACACACATACACTTTCAAATCTAGAAAACTCTAATGTACTTTACAACAATGAATCGTGTGTACATAACAAAAATAAATTCCTTGAGAACGTTTAAAAAGCAGAGCAGCATATATAAACTCTTGACCAAAATAATTATAATAAATTAAAGATCAGTGAAATGCTATAACAGAACTACTTAAATCAATGTAGAACGTCCTACATGTATTACTGGAACACTATGAACATTTGAATCACTCTAACACTGCATAACATTGAATAACAATGCATAATGCAAACTCAACCCAGCAAATGGCTAAACCAAATAAACATAAAACTTGAAATACCACAAAAAGGATTAAAGTTCCGTCGCTACGACGGATTTCCCTTAGTTCATAATGACTTGCTTCATTCCTGAATGATTCAGCCGTTCGAACGAATCAATTGAATGAATGATTCAGTGATAAAATCAGTGACTTGCCGCCACCTGCTGGCGGATTTAGTTACATTTTTAGCCTATAATTTCAGTTATTTAAATAATATTTCTGTATTCAAAATGTTACATTTAAAACATTAATCTCCACATTAATTTAATTGCACTCATGCTACCTCTGAGCCTCATTAAACATCTGAAAATTTACCTACAAGCCACTTTTGTGTTATTCTGTGCCACCTCTGTAGTACAAATTAATTTATTAATACTCATTTCATTATTAGAGAAGTAGAACATTATACATGTATTACTGGAACACTATGGACATTTGAATCACTCTAACACTGCATAACATTGTGTGGCAGAGCACTGAGAGATTAATAATTAATACCAAGTGACTACGCCACCCTGGGTGTGGCCCAGGGACCAATACCAAATAAAGTACTTTCTAAAGACACACAGGTTAGTGCACTAGAAGTAGGCAGGAGACGTAGATATAAAAAGGTACAAATTTCATTAAAGATAAAGTTGAAAATACAAAGAACAAAAATGCCCTCGTTGAAACAAAACAAAAAACACAAACTTATTTAGATACAGTGTGAAAATATAACCAGGGTCATCAACATATAAGTGTCCTGGTGTAGGAGCCGAGGCTTACCAGCAGGGAATAAAGCTATTTGGCATAATACAGCATCCACAGCAAGTCACCTCCCCTTATACCTGTGCACCCACATTCACACACAGCAAACACACTCCACTCCCTTACGGTTCACACAACACTCGTGATGAGAGGACGGCCACCAGAAATCCACCCCTGCCTTAGGCACTCTGTTCCTGCACAGAAAACAGAGTTATGTTACACAGTATACAGAAGAAACAACAGGGTCATAAGAAAAATAATAAAGTAACTTACAAAGTTACTTCAAAAGAAAATACGTCCTCCTATACTTGTACGACCCAACAAAATAAACTCAAGTACACGAAACACAAATAGTAAATAACAGAAATAAAGCAAAACTAGGCTACTAATGTAAGAAACAAAAGGAAAATAAGGGAAAATACTCAATATCAATAAAGAAGAAGGGAATTTAACTCAAATTGAATCACAGTACAATCATCAAAAACTTAAACCCACAATTCAAGGCAATGGCACAATTGCCTTGAATGGCGCGCACACACACACACACAGAGAAAAATAATTTAAACAGCTTTAATAAATAAAAGCAACAGCGTCTCTGGAGAGTGATTCCTGCGTCGTCGTCACCACAGAACTAAATCGCCCAAGGATACGAAACCAGATGGTCTGTTTAATTACAAATTGAACAGTAATTTTTAAAAGTCGAACCCTATAAAATCTAAAAAGAATGCCCAATTCCCCATTCAAATCCCCACCGTGAGAAAAAATTTCTCCAACTCAGTCGAGCAGATAAGCATCCATGTTAATGGCTCATTCAGTTTACACTGATCTGGAAACGGTGTTTATGCCGGGGAGACACGGCCGCGTCCACATAGACAGACAACCTTCTGTATCAGCTGTGCTAACCAGTCTAGCCAGAACCGCTAACTGTAAACAATACACAATACCCATTCAATACGAGCGAGTACTGGTAAATGCAACCGTGAGCGAGTGACGGTTACCCGCTGAGGGGTAACCTCCTTCAAAATGCCTGCCTAAGAACCTCGTCAGACGTGCTGCTCTGACTGTCGACCAAAGATGACTCAAAGCAGCAGGCGGAATCGTGAACCCATTCCGTTAAGCCAAACAGCCTATATACCTTCCTGCTGGCTGCGGATAGGGCAGCCCATGAGCGAATCCACCAATCACATGTGGACAGAGTGGATTTCGCTACACCTACCACAATAGAATAACAATGCATAATGCAAACTCAACCCTGCAAATGGCTAAACCAAATAAACATAAAACTTGAAATACCACCATCTTCATCTTCAAATGGAGGGTCATTTTCCTTCGAGTAAGACTTGTTGCAATTTCTGCATCTGACGGCTTGCAATTCAGACACCATGGTATTTGAAAACTACTTCATCACAGGGTCTGTGAAAGAAAAAAAAAGATTAGCAATAGATATGCATTAGAATTTCTTTGACTCCTCTCAGTTTACCTTTCAAAACTTGGTCTAAATCCTCATCAAGCTTGACATGAGCATCTGTTTTTATTCTCTTATGCCTAGTTCATACAACAGGATTTTAAGCCCGATTTGCAAATTAACGAGCTTGCCGACAGGTCGGGCTGTGATCGAGGGGAAATCAGCAGGTGATCAGCGCTCTGCAATCTTTATGTGTGAACTACACAATGACGCATCAAAGAGGCTCACTGACATGGCAAAAAAATATAATATCTGGACCGGTCGGCCGACTCGACAT